TCGCTTATAAAAAGCCTGCACTTCATGTGCTCAGACATTTTGAACATGAGTTCAGCTGAGACCCAATCGGTGAGAATAAAGACCTTTGCCTCCTGAACTGACCCGTGTCCAGACTCTCTGTACGTGGCTCTCTGTGCATTCCCCTATAACACCAGGGGATAAGCTTTGAGTTTTTATCTGTGATTTAGGGGGATAACAATAACTAATAGGTTGAGCCTTGGATTTATTAGCTCTCTCGTGTGGGTGTTTTTGTTTTTTGTTTTGTTTTTTTGCTTTGTCCAGCTTATCACTTTCAGGCACCATTTATTTTCAGGAAGCAAAACCCTGCCCCAAAATAATTTTTATTTTCTTTTCCGCTTCCCCTGTCCCCTTGATTTATGTTCTAAACCTAGAGTCCCATGCAGTTTCAAGTTGAAATTGTATTCAATTTAGCTGCTATTGAGATTAAGAGATTTGAATTTTAATATCACTTAATCAATGTAGAGTCCTTTATGTTGCTGGTTTTCTGCTATTAACCTCTTATATACTTGCATAAAGACAGGAACAAACTATGTTTAAGGATTCTTAATGTCACTTAATCAGTATAAGATTCTTTGTTCTTTATTCACTGAATTTCTATTAACATACATACATGTTAGAAGTCAAAAACAATGTTTTTTTAGATGCCACTTAATCAGTGTAAGATTCTCTATTCGCTGTTTTTCAGCTCTTATCCTATATGCATGAATAAAAGCAGGAGCCAGCTGTGTTATTATTTTTTCCTGTCTCTTAATCAATGTATGATTCTTTGTTCAATGGTTTTGCACTATTAACTTCTTATTTACATGTGAGAAGACAGGAACCAAAACAATTTTTAGGATTTTTGGTGTTATAGTCCTCCTGCTGGTATGATAAACCAAGCAAATAGATCAATTGATGTACAACAATGCTGTTACCTTATCTTTTCATCTTCTTCTTCTTTTTTTTTTTTTTTTTAATTTAAAGTTTTGTATTTTGAAAAAATAGAAAGAAATTGGGATACAGAAAGAGAAAAAGGGGGGTACAAAATGATCCCAGCCTCTGATCTTATCACATTGAATAGAATTTTTTACATTGTTGAACAACATTTTTTTACATTGTTGAGCATGCATACATTGGTAATTACAGTATTGAATGTATTACAGTCAGCCAACGTGAATCTATTGTTAGGTATTATTATACAACTGTCTATCTTTGTGTACATATGCCCTAAAGTGTCTCGTAATGTGTATCTGTGGGTGTATCAACCTCGTGGGTTGTCCCTCTACGAGTATGTTGGTTTCTGCAGCATACGCTTTGATGATGTGGGTTGGGGCTTGTCTATTATTTTGGGGGATACAATAATGTGAGCCAAGGTTTCCATATTTGTTCCATTTGTTTCGCTTTCTCGTGGGAGTTGGAAGATCGCATCTTGTATCTATAATATTGGTATAATTTGTCTAGTAGTTCTTTATGTGATGGACAGTATGTGCTTTTCCAGTGTTGGACCAAAAGATTCCTAGCTGCCAGTATAACAAGGGAGGCTAATTTCTTAGCCACTTTCTTCCACATATTTGGGAAGAGCAACATGCGTGCCACCAATGGCGTAAGGGGTATCAAGTAGCCCAGCGTTTTCTTTAATATTTGTTGGACATGTAACCATAGGGGTCTAATCGTATCACACTCCCACCAAATGTGGGTCATGGTGCCCTTGTCTGAGCCACATCTCCAGCATTGGGGGCTTATTATTGGGTATATTTGATGGAGTCTCTGTGGTGTCAGGTACCATCTGTAGATTACTTTTTTGTGGGCTTCTATATGTGAGAAGCAGGATGTGAGACCTTTAAGAGCATTCAGTGATTGGATCCATTAGTCGTTCATGAGTTGTGGTATGTCCTCTTTTTCCCATTGGGATACATATGTGAAGGGATGCGGTGGTGTATGTCCCAATAGGGTCTTATAGCACAGAGAAAAGGCCTTGGGTTTAGTCGGTGAAGAAAAACACCTGGTAATAATAGCTATGGTATGATTCATTTGTGGTGTTGTCGATTGAGGCTGTAGTGATACCGTACTATGCACTATATTTTTCAATTGTATGTATCAGAATATAAAAGAGGTAGGTAGGTTATATTTTGCCTGTAATTCAGGGAAGGCCAGTATCTTCCCGTGAGAGTATAGATCTTTGAAAAAGGTGATACCATGAGTGTACCGCAGTTTCAGTGACAGCCCTGTTGACACTCCTTCCAGTGCCCCCAAGGGGGCATATGTGCAAAATTTCCCTTTGTCAGACATGGTGGTTATAACTTTGTCCCAAATTTTCATGGTCAGCTTGGTGGTGGGGTATAACTGAATTTTCTGCAGCCTATACGTTTGTGGAGACCACATAGTATGTAGCAGTTGGCATGGGAGTGTTTTGTCATGTTCCATGTTGACCCATTGCAATGAGTGTCTTTAGGCACGGAGGCATATGGCGGATTCAAGGATGGCAGCCTCATAGTATGTAGATATTTTCAGGAAACCTAGACCTCCTGATTGTTGTGTAAGGTTAGGGCTGCTTGGAGGTTTTTTAGGACAGATGGTGGTATGCATTGTGGTAACATTCTAAATACATACAGAATCTTGGGCAGTAATACCATTTTAATAGAGTTGAGTTTACCCAGCCATGATAGTTGGACATGTTTCCATGTCTGAAAGTGTGATGTGCATATGTGGTGTAATGGGCCATAATTGAGGGTCACCATTTGTGAGGTATGTAGGGCTAGTTTCACTCCTAAGTATGTAATATGTTTTTGTCTCCAATCAAAGTTGAAGCCGTGGCATAGTTGGCTTACCCTTGCTGTGAATATGTGTAACAGTAGGTCTTGTGTTTTAGTGCTATTAAGTTTATAGTACGATATACGTCTGTAGTCTTGTAGTGTTTTCATGAGTCGAGGCAGATAAACCTCCGCTTCACTAAGGGAAAGTAGGATATCATCAGCAAACATAGATAATGTGTATTCATTGGCTTTTATATGTATTCCAGTGATGAGTGGGTCTCATCAAATTTTGTAGGCGAGGGGTTCCAGTGCTAATATAAAAAGAAGGGGGATAGGGGGCACCCTTGTCTAGTACCATTAGTGAGGGCAAATGGCAATGACAGGAATCCTGATTGGTATACTCGAGCGGTAGGGTATCTATAGAGTGCCATGATGCCATGTATGAGTTTTTGTGGGAAGCCGTATTTAATCATTACTGATGTCATATATGCCCAGTTAAGCCTATCAAAGGCCTTTTCGGCATCTAGAGCTAAAAAAAAAAATACTTTTGGTCACCTCTGTTTAGATGTGGGATAGTATATTGAGGATCTTCCTAGTATTATCAGAACCCTGCCTTCCTTTGATGAAGCCTAATTGATTGTTATGTTCAATGTGTGGTAGAAATGGGGTTTATTCTACTGGCTAACAGTTTGGCATAGATTTTAGTGTCACAGTTTAGAAGGGAAATTGGTCTGAAGTTTAAGCATTGAGTCGGGGGTTTTCCCGGTTTTGGGAGTGTTGTTATGTGAGCTTGGAGCATATCTGTGGGCATGACACCTGTTTGGAGACAGAAGTTGAATAGTGAGGTCATGGGAGGTGCTAGTATATCTTTAAAGGTGTAATAATAGAGGTTTGTGAACCCATCAGGTCCTGGTGATTTATGTTTCGGTAGTTGAATTATGGTGTCTATGATTTCTTGTGTAGTGAATGGTTGTATCAGTTTCTGGCAATCTTCCGGGGAAATGGATGGTAGGTGCACCTCCTGTAGGAAGGCATCAATGTCTCCTTGTGTAGGTACGTGATTATTTGTGTTGCTTGCTAAGTTAAAGAGACAGCTGTAATACTTGCCAAATTCCTCCACTATATCTAGTGGGTTAGTGAGTTTGTCCCCGTTTGTGTTGTGAACAAATGCTATTCTGGAGGACAGGGCCCATGATTTGAGTTGGGATGCTAATATTTTTCCTGCTCTGTTTCCCTCCTTAAAAAAAAATCTGTTTCATTTTCATCAATAGATAAGTTGTCTTAGCTTGATCCATGTCCCTCAGTTGAGCTTGTAGGTGAAATATTTGTTTTGTGGTGTCATGAGATGGTGTCTGTTTGTTCACGTGCGTGAGTCTGGTTAACTCTGTATGTATGTCCAAGTATGCTTTTGTACGTCGTCTTTTGTTGAAGCTGACATGTTTGATAAATTGGCCCTGAAGGGTGTCTACTCTCGTCTCATATGTGGGATTTATGGAAAAGTACGCTTCCAACTATTTAGTAATTTGGGAGACTAATGTATGGTCAGTGAGTAGTGAGTCATTTAGTTGCCATGTGCAATTCCCATTAGTAGGGTATTGTGGTTATGAATATCGTTATTGGAGCGTGGTCCGACCATGAGATAATGCCTATATCGGCTTTGGATATTTGTGGAGTTTGTAGGGTTAGAATTAAGAAACGGTCAATCCGTGAGTATGTGTCATGCACTAAAGAGTGATGTGTGTAGTCCTATTCAAGAGGGTGTAAGTTCCTCCAAATGTCGGTTTAGTCATGAGAAATTAGTACCTTCTTTATGAGTAAGGTAATGCATGTTCGCCGTTGTGTCGTTGTTTGTGTGATCTTGGAAGATGAAGTAGTATCTATGGATGGGTCTATAAAACAATTTGTATCCCCTCCCAGGATGATCTTGCCAAGCTTATGCACTTTTGTTAGGGTAAGGACTTGATCTAAAAAGACATGTTGGTCGTTGTGTGGTCCGTATAGATTGACTAGCGTGTATTTGGTATTATCAATAACACATTGTAGGATCAGATATCATCCCTTTTTGTTGCTTATCTTTTTTAGAAATTGGAACAATACATCACGGCTAATTGAGATTGTGACTCCTCTTTTTTTTTTGTATGTGCTATGGTAACTTATCGAGAGTTGGTTGGATGTGAGTTTGGGATGTTGTGCAGTTTGGAAATGTGTTTCTTGGAAGAATGCTATATGTGCTCTGTGGTTTTTCGCTTCTACCAGGGCCATGCATCTTTTTTTTTTTTTTTGTTTAATTCTTTACTTATGTGGACAGGTATAACATGCATATATCAAATACATTTCGTAGCTCAAGCTAATTTAACATGCACAGTGTGTACAGAGTGCTTTGACATACATATGACATAGTCATGCAGTGAATAACACCTTAAGAATATCACCTATCGCCCCAAAACCTATCGTATGGGCTACCATAACACTCTCTGGTACTGCAAGTTACATTTTGTGAACTTAGGTTTGTGTTTTATAATAAAAGAAAGAAGAGAGAAAAAACAGAAAGCATTTGATAACAATTGAAACTGTGTTATTGTATTAGTACATATACACCATTGGTGTGAACTCTCCAGCTGCTGTAAGCCCTCTAGTCTGCCATCACCCCGTACAGTGGGTGTTACCCCGTGCTAATTTTAGGGGGTCCGATATGTGTGCCTCGCCCTCCGGTCTTATAAGGGCCTAGTGTATCTCCCATTGTGGGTAGTTATTTATTGGTGTGCTACCGGTAGCTGGCAGGGTAGCTGTCAGGCTGTAACCTGTGCACCTGTGATCACATCTGAGTCTTGGTCAGTAGACTTAGGTCAAATATAATTGTGTACTGTACTCTTAACTAAACTTCAATTCCTCTTGGATCTCTGAACTCTTATATCCAAGCCATTCTTAATGTATATAATTACTTAATATTAATCAATATAAATTATCCTTCCTTAGTTTTCTTCCTTATGTTACCATTGTTTGTTTCACTTCACCTCGATTATAAACAAATTATTCCTTATAGTTAATCTATGAAATACTATTGAACTCAATCTTTGTGGTATTAAGTAACCATGATCCTTATTTTATCAACTTCATATTTTATCTGCCTCTGATACTTCTCATTCTATGTATAGGTAATAATGTAATAGTTCTCTTCATAATACTATCCTATCATAATTTTACTCCATGTGTTATATAGTTATAAGTACTCTCTTGGTATTAATACTCAGAACTGTTAAATAACTTTTCATTGTCCGTTTTCATTTCCATTAATATTTAGGAATTGTTATGTATGTTATTGTGATTTTTTTATTTCTTTGTAAGTCTGTTAATCTTCTGTATCAAATGAACTCTGTAGAATCTTCCATCACAGTTTGCAGATCAGATGAAAAGTCTCTTTCCAACAGTCGATGTCCAGTTGTCTAAAGGAATGCTTTCCTGATTTATTGCCACATGGATTTGTCACACTTTACCTACATTAAAACAAATAACGTGCAGCATCAATACAATGGCTTACAATGTTTATATTTCATTATTATTATACAGTTTAACATTGAATTATATTGACTACACAAAACATACTAATTTCTTCTCATGGAATCTACCATCTAGTGGTCATTACATTTATGCCATTTGATGTATACTCTTTAAATTTCCTTTATATCAAAGTCTTTATGAACATTTAAATTTGCCAAACTTTTTATTAACCATACCCCCCTTTTAAACTGTTTAATAATCTGGAGGTATAACCTAATCACATGTCAGATGTTACAAAAAAATATTGTTTTCCCCTATACTTTAGCAATAGCAGCCATCTTGTCTTAACACTGGCACCATTTTTTCACATGAAACAAACTACAAAAACACATATATTGTTTCCTACATCAAATATATCTGCAAATCTAGGTTTTATTCTATCAAAACTTTTGTCTCATATATAATCAAAACATATGTATGTCCATGCTTTGCAAAATATAGTAATCCATTATCAGTCATGATATTAAAATCTCATTCTCATGAATTAAATCAAATATTTGAAATCAACCTCAGAAGCCACAACATTGTTTTTTCCCTTCTGTAAAATGATTGGAGTTACTGTATAATCGCATACGCCCAATATAACATACATTGCATGTTCCTAACTGCTACATTAGTATATTTCATTCTGCCATATTTGCAAACTTGATGTAAATTTTTATTTTAATTAATTCACCTAATACTTTCTTATAACACACATAAAAACAATGAAAAAAACAGTTCAGACCAACAATTCAGTAAAACAACAAACTAACATAGATCTCTATTCTTTTGTGCTGTTCTTAATTCTGGAATCAGCCTGTGTACATCTGTTGGCACACATATCCATGCTCATTCCCTAAACTGATCATATCTCTTGAAGTTATCTGATTCTTATAACTTTCTGTGTTACACTGCAGTGCTTGTCTGTCTCCTAATTTAGATTTAGCTAAAATTGCTCTTATTTGTCTGATTATCAGTTTATAAGGAAGGCCTGTTTTTGATTTATCTCCACATGTATTTTCTCTGTAAAAATTTTCAATCAACAAATTTAATTTCTCATTTGCTTTTGATTTGATATCTCAGATAAAATATCTGCAAGATCTTAAATAATGTTGTTTATTGCACCAAAAACAAATAACTTTATGAGTTATATTCTGCCTTTGATTTGAGCAAATTGGGAGTGGCTCAGCTGTCTGTATCACTCTTTCACACTGAGTCCTAGAAAAAGGAGGAGGGGGGTGGGGGGAGTGAGGGGTGTAACATCTGCACTTCTTTCTCTGCCTAATTCCACAAGTCATTTTAACCCCTTCATTTTTGGTTACCCTCCTTAAGTTATCCAAGAACAAAGCTACTTCTGTCAAAGTGTTTTTTTCTCTAGCTAACACAATTGCAGTTGGATCTAGATCTTGAAATTTTTTCACAAATTCATTAATCAACTGATCCTCAGGAAAATCAGCAACAAGTCTATATGCCTTTTCAAATTTTACAAGAAAACTAAAAATATCCTCATTGTGTGGTTTTAGTTTTTCCAACATTTCAATGTCTGCACAATCATTCCCTGTTGTTAATTTTATTAATTGTGTTAATCTGTCTTGCTTTTTTCCATATATTATTTCATCATTGTCCTCACATTTTACAATCACGGTCAGTCTACATGCCATTTGAGTCGGCAGCCATATTTTAAATAGTCTATTCCTTTGTTCGTCATTTAGGCTGTATTTGTCCAAATTTGACTCAAACATTTCAGCATTAGTAAATGCATCCACTGACGTGTCATAAACATGAATACATTTCACAATTTTCATTAATTGTTCCTGGATTTTCAAATTAAGTTTTTTCAGCTCTGTCTTGAAATTTACATTTCTGCACATCACTCTGTGAGGATACATTTTCAGTATTAATTGGTTCTGGGATTAAATTTTGTGCCTGTATTTTTCTTGTATTAACACACACTAGCTTTACTTCATTTCTAAGCTGGCAAATAAGATCATTTCTTAATTCAACTTTATCCTCTAGTTCACAGACTGTTTCTGACAATCTCTCAAAGTTACATTGCGAGCATGTGCTCTCTGTTACATTGTTACAGTGTTTATTTAAATCTGATTTGTCTTCTGTTAACATATTCAGATCTATTTCTTTATCTGCTGATTCTAAATTTTCTTGACCTGCATCTCGTTTACAAAACAATGCATTGTAAGTACAGACTAGTTTCATAACATTTCTGATCTTTTGTTTTTTCTTTTTAACAAACAATTTCTTGTCAATTTCACTATTGACAATTTCACATTGTGTGTATAAAGATTCCCACAGTACAGCATCTGAATAGCTGCTATTAAATGCAAACTGCAATATACTTTTCTCTGCAATATCATTTATGAATTCCATGTTACTCACCAGATATCTCTGTCTATTTAGTTGCTTCATCCACACAGGTGCGCAGTTCTGGACTTGAATCTGGATGATTGCCAATCTCTGCCACGTGCTTGCTTCTAGAATTCACGTTGTATCTTGTGCTTTTTGTCTCAGTTGTAGAAAATAGTCTTGAACAGTTTTTGTGATTTGAAAACATTCTTTTTCTTACAAACACAGTTCTTCTGTGATCATCTAGATTCTTTTTTTCTCTTCAAGTTTGTTTCCCCAGTTCCAAAAAAAGCTTTGTAACTCAATTCTTCTCTCCCCCCCCCTTGAAGTGGGAACAAAACTTGAATAGAAGACTGGCTGGCTAGCCAATGTAAAATGTAATTTGGAATGATGTTAATGTTGAATCTTCTTAATTTCTTCTTGTGTTCAGTTGATTATATATATACGTATATATAGTCTTGGGCCAAATGCTCGCCACAATAATATATGTCTATATTATTGAAAAGTACTAATACACAATCTGACTTACGGTTTCTTCAGGTTTATTCTTAGTTACAGATACATAATAAAGGATGTTACAGGATAATGGACATTCAACAGCAGATGTTAATTGCTGGACTTCTTTATAACCTTACATCTTTACATCGAGAGAGAGAGCCAAGAGCCACGAGCTAAGAGAGAGTGACCTTGTGTCCCTCTGTTACTATGTAGAAGTGTTCATACTAACGTCAGCGTTTAACTCTAGCCAAATAAGGACAAAACCCCCACATCCACATTCCAGAGCTCTCGGACAAAGAAAGCCTTGTGACTTATTGATACCATCTGTTACTTATGTCAATCCACATATATATATATATATATATATATATATATATATATATATATATATGTATATAATCAATAGAAACGTAGAATATGCAATATTCTACACTCCCTTCCAGGGGAACCCAATGTCGCAAGCATCTCGGGGGGAGCTCTGTCAGTCTGTGGCCCTATGGTGTTTGCCTTCTGATGCTTAGCAGGGTTTCTCATCAGAGGGACAGTTAAGTGGGATTTTCTGCTAGTGCTAGGCCAGCCTCCACAGCCTTATTCTCACCCCAGCTACCCCGCCCCTATGACCCTACTCAGCTTGTTTCTTGCCAGTATGTTATCTTATCGTGTGTAGAAGTATTCAAATATACTCATTCATGTTATGATTTGTGTGTTTATCTGGGGTCCCTCTGTATTTAGGCTAAATTATTTTTATTATTTTCTTTTTTCCTTTTTATTTTTGTTGTTGTTGTTGTTTTGTTGGTTTTCCCCCTTTTTTGTGTCCTGTTTTCCCTTTTTTCTCCCTGTACATGTTATAAATTTTGTAATTGCCTTTTTTTGTTTTTTCCTTTGTCTCCTCCTCTATTGTGGGACCTGTTAGTTGAGTTTATTTTGTTTAAGTATCCCTACTCAGTTATGTCTTAGAGTTCATTTGCATCAGAGTCTATGAACGAACAGCAATGTGGCTTAGTGTTAAAGCTGGCGGCAAGTTGCCGTGTGTGACTGTATAGCTGAGGGTAGATCCCAGCCCGATCCGAGCTCCCTCCTGAGCCGGATGGTAAGGGCCCCTAATGGCCGGAATCATTCGGTCAAAGTCCCCACCGCATCCGACCAACTGTGAAGTGCCAACCCAAGACCCACAAACAACCGCAGGTCGGACATGCGGGAACCGGACCGAGACCCCAGTGTCACTGTCCATGTGCTAATAGTGGGCATCCCGAGACCCCCACCCAAGCAAGGCCGGAAGGTAAACCCCCCCCCCCTCAACGCTGGCAATATATGCAATGGATGCCCGGCTCTGTCAGGCTTAATTCCCTCCCAAAGATGTCCTGGCTTCCCCCTTGTATGGCCCCGACTGTACCTAGTGTCCCCTGCGGACAATTACTGTACCCGGCTCCGGGACCATTTGGTCCCCTAGGGGAGTGTCCACCAAGTGGGAGACCTGCATAAATACCGGGCAGGTAGCCCACAGTAAATGAGTTCGTGTTTTACCCTCAAAGCGGAGCTTGGTCTCGTTATTGGGGGGATTTTATTACCGGCGACTAGAGACTGCTTATTTGGATTATTTGCCGCTTGGAAGATATTGGCGTTCGGCTAATATTGTCAGTTCGTGGATTTGGAGTTCGTGAAGGGAAAGAGCCATACAGGTACTGTTCGGGAGTTTGGAGTGTTCCCTAGCTGGTCGTTCGCATGATTATACTGCATACGCTACCAGCCTACATTAATGCGAACAGGGAGCATTCACTAAACAGCGGTTTGTACATTTATTACTGGAGGTACCGTAACAAGTGAAAAAAGTTTTTTGCCTTTAAATGAAAGCTATTGTGACACCAGATAAGAGTGGCACTTTGAACTGGCAAAGGTTGGCAGAGTACACGTTATAGGCCTGACACACCCGCTTGAAGACAACTAACTGCTATTCAATCTATAACAGTGAAAAAAAGTTTTGGGGTTTTTAAATGCACGCTATTGTGACACCAGTGAGTGAGTGGTGGCACTGGGCAAATGGGCACAGTATACGCTGCGAGCCTGACACACAGACACTTGCAGACAACTATCTGCTATTCAATCTATAACAGTGAAAAAAAATTTTGGGTTTTTAAATGCATGCTATTGTGACACGAGTGAGTGAGTGGTGGCACTGGGCACAGTATCCACTGTGAGCCTTACACACCCACTTTGAGACAACTAACTGCTATTCAATCTATAACAGTGAAAAAAGTTTTTTGTTTTTAAATGCAAGCTATTGTGACACCAGCGAGTGAGGGGGAGCACTGGGCACAGTATCCACTGTGAGCCTGACACAGAAGCTGGCAGACAACTATCTGCTATTCAATCTATTACAGTGAATTTTATTTTTTTTAAATGCACGCTATTGTGACACCAGTGAGTGAGTGGTGGCACTGGGCACAGTATCCACTGTGAGCCTGACACACCCGCTTTGAGACAACTAAGTGCTATTCAATCTATAACAGTGAAAAAAGTTTTTTGTTTTTAAATGCAAGCTATTGTGACACCAGTGAGTGAGTGGTGGCACTGGGCACAGTATCCACTGTGAGCCTGACACACCCGCTTTGAGACAACTAACTGCTATTCAATCTATAACAGTGAAACAAGTTTTTTGTTTTTAAATGCAAGCTATTATGACACCAGACATGAGTGGCACTGTGAACTGGCAGCGTACACGCTGTAGGGCTGACACACCCGCTTTGAGACAACTAACTGCTATTCAATCTATAACAGTGAACAAAGTTTTTTTGTTTTTAAATGCAAGCTATTGTGACACCAGTGAGTGAGTGGTGGCACTGGGCACAGTATCCACTGTGAGCCTGACATACCCGCTTTGAGAAAACTAACTGCTATCCAATCTATAACAGTGAAAAAAAGTTGTTTGTTTTTAAATGCAAGCTATTGTGATACCAGTGAGTGAGTGGTGGCACTGGGCACAATATCTACTGTGAGCCTGACACAGAAGCTGGCAGACAACTAACTGCAATTGCATTACACAAAAAAAAAAAACCAGACATGTTCTAGCCCTAAAAAGGGCTTTTTGGGGTGTTGTCCTTACAGCAGAGATCAGATGAGTCCTTCAGGACTGTAGTGGACACTGTATACCCTAACCTAGCTATGCATTTCCCTATCTAAGCAACAGCAGCTACACTTTCCCTCCTCTCACTAAGCATGCAGCTTGAGAATGGATGTAAAATGGATGCTGTCCAGTAGGTGGGAGGGTCTGCTAGGGAGGGTGTGCTGCTATTTGGCTGGAATGTGTCTGCTGACTGTGAGGTACAGGGTCAAAGTTTACTCAATGATGACGAATAGGGGGCTGATCGAACCGCGCATATGTTCGCCCGCCGTGGTGAACGCAAACATGCTATGTTCGCCAGGAACTATTCGCCAGCGAACCGTTCGGTGCATCACTATATACAAATAACGAGACATATATTACTTGGGAGAGTGTCGTCCTAATTTTATCTTATTCCTAGGAGGTATAGTATCTTGGACATGACTGATAGTTATTAAATATTCATGGTGGCACTCTTCCTTACATAATGTGTACTGATAAGTTATCTATGTGGGCTTCTGATAATTGCTTTACCATGTTGCCCTTTTTGCAATATATGGAATGCCTATCTGAAGACCTTAGTAATCAATGGTACTTATTTGATTAGGTCGATCACCTGTGTATCCGGTCATAAGGTAGTTATCAACCTTATTGGGGAATTAGATATATATGTCCCATTTGGGGAGTATCCGCCTATTATATACAGTACTCATGTCATATAAGTGTCTTCATGATATTGTGAATTTTGTGAAATATTGATCGTAGGTGCTTTAAATTAAGCCGTTGCCAGTAACCTTATATATACTAAACAAAAAATATATATACATTTTTTTTTATTTATTTATTTATTTTTTAAAAATTTCAGCACGAACACGTGCAACCAAATAGCCATAAAGGGTGTTTAAAAGGTTGTGCACCTCGTTATACACCGAATTGGTGTAAATGTGGGTAACCTAAGCCCGTTATATGCCTTTTAGAGTCACTTATCTGCAGCTGTGGTATTCCAATCTGGGATAAGTTTCATCTGTGCCTTGGCCGCTTCTTGTCCAGTGGGGATATCTTGTATGTCGGTGTCCATTGGAATATTCCATTCCGTCAGGGCTTTTCTTCCATCCTCCGGAGTTAGAAGATGTCTTTCAGTGCCATTGCGTTTAATGATTAGCCGTGCTGGGAACCCCATTTATACGGTATATCCGCAGTGTGCAGGGCTTTGGTGATCGGCATGAAGGTCTTCCTTGCTGCCAGCGTGGGTGCTGAAAGGTCAGTGAAGAGTTTGATCTTGTCATAGGCCTCTGGTATAGTAGGCTGTTTCTGTGATGCTTGCATTATGGCCTCTTTGGTGGTATAGTAATGGACTCTTGTAATGGAGTCTCTTGGAGTAGCTGCCCGGAGGTTTTTAGGTTTTGGCAACCTGTGCATCCTATCAAGAAGCAAGTCTTCTTCTGGAAGGTCTGGTACTAATAGGTGGAATAGCGCCTTAATGTGTTCCCAGGTTTTTAGAGGTAACCTCTTCAGGGATTCCGCGTATGCAAATATTATTTCACCTATCCCTGTCTTCATGGTCGGTTAGCTTTGTGAGGATAGATTGGGGGGGATCTACACACGTCGACCTGTCCTCTCCTCTTCACAGACTCACGCCCGCCAACACGTCCGTACATCCTAAGTCAGCACACCATGGGAAAAAAAATGGTTTTATTAAGATTTGGTTAAAATAGACAGATATTACATGCCGTATGGGGAATGCCGTGGCGCGGATCAAGGGAATAGCCATTGCTTCCAATGAGTCTCAAATTAGTAACAATTAATTCACATGGGGTTAGACTAACCCCCAAAAAGGTCTTACCTTTATGAAATGCTTGTTAAAGAAAACAAAAATCAATATATGTTTTACCCAGGAAACTCATTGGGACAGCAAGTGTTCAACATTTTAAGACTGTTCCCAGCATTTGATTACATTTTCATTTTTTTTTGTTGGGCTTTTTTTTTTACTGTTGACCTTTTATATTTATTATTATTATTATTATTATTATTATTATTATTATTATTATTATTATTATTATTAGTTTTTACCTTTTAAGTATATACTTTTAT